TTTTTTAATTTTGTGTCTACGATGATTTTTCGCCGAGTTTCAGTGGTTTGAAAATAGCCCAATTTTTAGGGTATGAAAAGTGTTCCCAATTTTTTTTTAGTAGTGTATTTTATAGTATACATTTAGAGACATCAAGAAAGTAGAAAGTTGTGTGGTGGAACAAAAATGAACGAGGGAAGATATTTTACCACCTGAAAAGAGAGGAAGATACAGAAAAACATGCAAAGGAACTCTTTTAAAGGCAATCAATATATTATAACTATTAATGACTATTCATATGCTTTTGAACCATATAATTTCATTGATTGACTTTAAGAGAGAATAAGGTAAGAAGAGAGAAGTTATACTGCAGCTCTCGTCTTTAATAAAGAGAGGGAGGATTGGGGGAAAGGGATAGAAGATAAGAGGACTGAAGAAGACTGTCGGAGTAGAGGAAAAGAAGGAAGATAAGAGGGTAACAGAAAAGAGCAACAAAAATAGAGACGGAGAAAATTGATAAAATGACGGTGTTCATAAAAAATATATTGATAAGGTAAGAGATACAGCGGATGGAATCAAGAAAAGACCTAGGCCCACTTCTTGACATAGAAACGGTGATGCTGGTGACCAAGCTTCTGACCAAGAAACATTGTGACCGTATTTAAAAAATGATATATATTGAAAAATTATAGATATGATTTTAAAAAGGTTTATATATACCATTTGGCAGACATGAGCTGTAGGTACGGGTTCGGCTTTTGGCTTCGATAATCGCAAATGTCTGTACGATCCCCAGGACTTGTTAGATCGCAATACATTAATGACCATATCTTTTTGCAATTGCTGTACATAAAAAGGGTCCTGTAAAGAAAACTTAGGAGCCTTCTCATCTTGAATAAGCACACCTCTAACATGCTCCCCGCCTGGCTCTTTCCTCAAACAATTAATAAAACCTAACAAACCACACTCGAAATCCTTCTCCCCAACAATTACAATCCTGTTATTCTTTTCGAATTTGCTCTCGTCGCTCACCAGTGGCTTTAGATCCTCCAGCCAATTAAAGTTATCATTATGTATGTAGACAACTATTCGTTTCCCTATCAGAACTTTTTTCTTCAAAAGGACGATCATTTCTTTGTCGGTACGCTTTTCAAGAATAACATTTAATTCGTATTGCTGTAAATATTTTGTATAGTTAATTGCGTCGCACTTCTCACGCGTCAATAGATAACCACCTCCTTTCAGAAATGACAAAAGTCGTTCTAACAAAGCTTGTTGTTTGGTCAAAAGGTTGAATCCGGCAACTATTAGGACTTTATCGTCTACAAATGATTTATTTAGTTCTCCAAGTGAAATGTTCTGCGGCAAGTCTGCTGGACTAAAACGATTCGGTGATGTTAATAAAGTGATGTTCGTTTGTATCAATGGCTCATCACCAAAAGCGTCAATTAGCAACGAAGATGAGAGATATTCTATTTCGACGTCGTCGACATCTTCCACCAACTCGATGACTTTCACTTTGGTAATTTGATGATCTTCCAGTGCGAGTTGTGCCGATATCCAAATGGCTTCGTCTAAAGAAATGTTGGCGCGATCATGATGAGCTACAAATATGTACTCCTCGATAACAGTATCTTGAGCTAATTTTCGACGAGAAATCTGAGTTGTTTTAAAACCTCGTATCTCTATTCCGCCAGATATAATTGTGTCTATTTCCTTATATACTCGTACTGGTATTACTGTAATAAAAAAAAAACGTCTTATAACACAGAGATTCTCTTGCACAATATTCATGAAAATAAAACAATTGAACAAGTGATTAAAGAATACTTACGTTGCTTCATATTTTTAGTATCTTCCACGCAAATCGTACTCTTTAGTAGCTTCGAATGAAGCATAGGGTTGATAACCAATTTCTGAAAACTTGTCGGAATATACAGTTCTCTGTTATCATTTCCGATAATGCACATATGTAGCATAGCATCCATAAACGCTACCCAATTTTTCCTCCAAAAGATATGTCCTTTGTTGCCTGAAATAGACGCACTGTGTATTCCACGGAACCAGCCGCTGTAATGATAACCGCGCAGTCTCAACTCCTTATAGATATCCCGCTCAGTCATAAGTTCTTCCTCATCGTTAATCTCCGGTAATAACAGATCTCTCCGAATCATCTCCTGTTCTGGGTTCGATGTGTCTTGCACTGTACCTGTCACTACAACGCTATCTCCTTCGGTTATTTCAAACTTTCCATCTGTAATAATTTTATATATCTACATATATACGTTTCTTTCGATTTTACTATTGTACTTTAAGATAATGTATCTCACAAATACCTTCCAGTATCGCGATCTTCAAGTTTACAGCATTCTTTTTGGACAAATGAGTAGCACGAATAAATCGTACATCTTGAAATATTATTGGTACTGTTGTGTACACTTCCCCCTTTCTCATGCCGATAGTTTGCCAAACAAATACAAGATAACCCATCGCGGGTAACAAATTTCTTCCATCGATTACATGACCGTACATAAACTCGTAATCCTCATGGTTGAGTGATATTTCAAGGTATGTTTCTCGGGAATTTATGGATAATTGTGATACCTTGCTCAACATAAAACAGTCTTTGGAATAATTCCATCTAATGTGGCATCAAAATGCGTGTTAATACACTATACACTATATAATTTTATATACATATAAAAATACACTTATACACATTGTATAATTACACACATAAGATATATATATATAATAC